AATCTGAACGTCAAAAGAAGAAGAAGACTGTGCGACGTCAATATATTGCTACTGGGGGTGTTCTTACAGGTCAGGAAGGGAGGGAACTTATTCAAAATAGTGATAATATGGTTTTGGATGAAGCTGTGGCCCCGCTAATTGAACCACGAATTCGTGCACCACGAACCTGTAGTATATGTAGATCACTAGCGCATACTGCTCCTAGGTGCCCAGATCGAGAATAAGAAAGATAGTATAGTTTATATAAATAAATATTAAGTGGTTAAAGTTCTATGGTTTTTAAAAGTTGGATGGTGGGGTAAAAAATCCGGACTGCTTATAAATCCGGACTCCTTATGAAGTACGTTAGGAAGTTGGAGATGGATACATTTGTGAGAAAATGTGGTAGTCAAACTTCGGGCAAAGCGCAAGGGTACGAACGGGCCAAATGCAAGCTCCAGCTCGTAGTGGCTATCACTACCGTGAAAGCTTCCGACATCGTGATAAACCCGCCCAGTTATCACGACCTATATAGGCTGAGCAAAATTTTAGAAATCAATATAGAAACATAGACTCAGTATAATTTTATAAGGGGTGAGAAACGTCATCTAATAGCTGTTCTAATTTGATTTCTCAACTTACAATTTATTTATATCTAATGTGGCTTATTTTATATATATAAGAACAAAATTGCGGGCTTGACCTAGGCTGCCGGAAAAATCTACTTTTTACCAAGAGGCTGGGAGAATAAAAACGTTACGACCTTACTCCCGGAATTATATCTCAGTCTCGACAAACTCGACATTAGACTTCGTTCAACGCTTTAGCATTATTTCTAAGTCATAGCACCCGACCGAAAGAGGCTGATTCTATGTTGTGACGAATCGTGGTTGGACAGGTATGCGAGTTCACGTTTAATTTAGAGCGGGGTTTAGAAGTCTCTCTTATTAACTAAACTGCAAATTGAAAGATAAAACGACATAATTATATGAAACTCCACCAAATAACTTTGCTCAGGCGCCTGTTAAACATACATGATATTGCTGATCCAGAGCTCCTTGCTTTAGAATAACCGAACATAATACAGAAGAATCCAGATTTTAGTTGTGAGCGTGCTGATTTCGAAAAGACGGGTTGTAGTCGCTATTTTCGAACGTGTAAGGAAGGTATTAACTGGTAATGGAGATCCTGCTGAGTTCGAAGGGCTGACCGTGGTTACTATATTCGAATGGATGAGCGGGAGAGTTGGAGTGTTGATCGAGAGCGTGCTGATTCTTGAACGTGCGGTCGCAGTCATCACATTCGAATGTATGTGCGGGAGAATCGAGATGTTGCTCGAGAGCAGTTTGGCTCTGGAAAGAGCGATCGCAATTATCACACTCGAATGTATGGATAGCGCCGTCAAGATGCTGAAGAAGAGCGCTGTTGCTTCCGAACGACCGACGGCAGAGAGGGCAAGAGAACTCCATAATTCACGACACTTAGAAGATGATGTCCGCTATTAAGTGTAAATTGGTTTTATTGGAAGCTCTAGTATATCATAAGTTGCCCCGCACCTTCCTTTAATAGCATGCCCACATGATCATCATCAAGCGCCGAGGCGTAGACCAGTCAGTTGCCTCGCATATCGGAGATTGACTAGCACTGGGGAGGAATGGCCGTGGGCCGGGAAGCGCAGGGCCGACCAACGATAGCACCTCAAGGACCCCACCGGATTATGTGCTACTTGATGCATTATTATTGGGTCCTTTCTAGTGCGCCCCCCATGATCCGCGACGATAAAGCTTACGGAAGAGAATGGTGGATAACTTAAGTGGTGTTTTTACGAGGTAGATGTCGGGGAAGTGGGATCGCGAAAGCACGCTCCACTAGCTCACCTGTAGGGCGAGATTCGAGGCTGAAAGAGAAATGCCATCTTACCACCAAAAGAATTCGCATCATTCAGGGCTGTCATAGCAAAGTTGGGAGGGGCAAGAGAGATATACTAAACGGGGCCACGTTAGAAGATTTTGTAAGCAAGTTACTGAATGAATTAAGCTTGAAATGAGAAGTTGAATCCGCCAAATCTCCCTCAGAGATCCAAAATCTTTTCTCGACAGACGAAGTAAAACAATCTTTGCTCTCTACTTGTTCAATCCTGAACCCTATGTCAGCTTCATGTCAATATCTTCCTCCCCCTCTCAAGATCCTCTATCTCCTTCTGCAGTTGCTTCCGTCGACGTTTCTGGCGCGCATCCTCTCCTGAAACCTCATCCAACTGCTCTGGAGTCATGGCCCCTACAAATACTGGCGAGAAGAGCTTCAATGGCGTATCCGGTCCCGAGATCAGGTAATAATCTGCTGCTTGCATACATATTACGTCGACGATTCGTTTTCTGGCAACCTTGTAATACGATTGTAAGATGTCGTGGAGATCTTGAACAATGTGCTCGGCGTTGCTCATATGATAGTGGGTCTGCGTAATCGCGCGAAGCGGGACAACAGCTCCATGCTTACAGTTGTCAATTGATATCGCTAACATTGCTTTCTGCATACGTTCCTATCGGCTACACGATCTGTCAGAATATATAAACAAGAAGGGAAGGTCTCTTACCATTTCTCTAAATTGTCATTAAAATAGTGATTCAACGTCATTGGCTTGCCAGATCGCTCAACCTGTAGAATGAATTCCACATGAGCAAAGGCTTTCCTGTACCGCTCCAAAAGCCCATCCATAAGTATAGAGGCCAGCCCAGTCCGGACACGTTCGTCTGAACAGGTATGGCAGAGAAAATCGGTGACGAAAGTGTGAGTCACAGTTACCACTTCGCTGATATACCCGAAAGCTATGCTGTCCCACTTCTTCGACTGCTCCTTCATGGTTAGAGCCAGCAACGATGAATTGAACGTCCCTAGTTCTAAACCACGGGAATCTCGATAGACAGTGGTCAACCATTTAAGGACATCGTTATTCCGGGGCAAAGAGAGCATTTCATTCTCGCGCACAATGTCCCTGACATCATCGTGGGTTTTATGAAGACGAGTATCGAGAACGGAAACAGGCGGAGGACATTCAGCATCGTAAGGCTCTTCCTCGACAGGGGGAGGCTCAAGCATAGACCCAAAATCATGCAAATTTGGTTCCTTAAAACAGTAGGTGTTACCCCATGTCTGGACCGAGTTTGAGAAGGTCTCGTTACGGGCCACTAACGTCGTGACAAGTCTGAGGCTAGGCTGCTGATCAAAGATATCATTTCCCGAGTAGTGGGAATTCAATGCCGACGTGACGGTTTCTTGGAAGCGAGTTGCAATATCGATTAGATACTTGGATTGGTCGGTTGGCGTGTCTCTCTTGGCCCCAAGATCTACAAGCAAAGCCTTGCAATCCCTGAGCTTCTTATTTGACCTCCGACTTCACCTTACAGGGGGTGTTAGCAAGTTTGACACTACTCCACCAATCAAGGAACACTTACTTTGGGAAACTCGCGACGAATGTGCTCAGCTAGAATCTCCTGTAGACGCACTTGAAGCGCAGGGATTCCAACCTTTTCCTTGTTCAGACTATCCCATGGCGACTCCCTTGAAAAAAATTCTTGTTCCAGTGCCTGACGGTTCGTCGCCGGATCCGTCAACTGCTGCTGCCCGGGGTTGCGCACGAGGCTCCATCCTAGGGCCAGTTGATGCCTTCGGCCCTCAACCAGGTCAACCACGGCCTGCTCGGCACCTTTGTCAACGAGGTCCGGCTTCGTCAACACACCCAGGGTCCTCTGCCCATCGGGGTCCACCTCCTCTGCCATCTCTAGGATCTCTTGTGTTGCAAGATCAACGTTGGCCGGAATAACGGTAAGCATAACCGATCTGGGGTTCGCCATGTAGGCGCGCACCATTGACTTGACCATAGACATATCGGCCGTGCTTGTGAGGCCCTGCGTCCTCTGCCTAAAGATGCCTGGGACGTCAATAACGCTCAGATGCTCCTGGTCGGGCCCGCACACCTCTATGCATAAGACGTCGTCTGAGAAGGTTGGAGAGCTCATGCTGTTGTCTTGCTTCGAGAGTCCCATTACTGTGTGAACCTGCACACTGTTAATTTAGGCCATGATGCTCTCCTTTTAGAACTTACCTCTAGCATAATATGAGTGAAGGCCTTCTGATCAAGGCCATCCAGATCTCTCTTAGCCCATTCGCGTACTTGATTCGCGTGCTCCGAGGTTGAATTTTTGGCAGGAATAATACTGATTGTAATTCCTGTTAATGGAGAGCGCCGGAACGTAATCTGGGTTGCGAAACGTGTACACAAGCCACTGTCTCGTGGGAATGGTAAGTTGGTTACTCCTTCCAGGACGGAGCTCTTCCCACTCGATTGGTCACCGACCACGACAATCTGGGGCAGGAAAATGTAGTCGCCTACATTGCATGCAAACAGTCTGTCGATTTTGTCTAGCATAGCGGGGTCAGCTAGAGTTCCTCCAGTTGCACCATTAGGCTTTCGTCCCCGTAGGGATTGTTTGGTCTCCTTGCTCATTGTACTGTCTTCGAATACTCAATTTAGAGAGGGGTTCAAAGATGGTAGAAGATTTGTTGTTCGACAGATGGACTGACTGATGATTCTTAGTTGAGCGAATATGCTGTCCTATATAGTGTTTGAGTTGTCGAGCCATGAGTTGTCCATGTTCAAGCGAGAGCTTATTGCCCACCAGTCATTTGCCTTTTACGTTCTAAGGGCAGGCCGCTGAGAAGCACGATGCCGAATGCTACACGCTTCTGTTTTTTGTTGTATTGCTACAGAATCTGCAAGAAGGCCAAGCGCATACTCGTACTTGCTTTGAGCAGGCCTTGTTTGCAACTCTCCCACGGTTCGTACGCTTGAGGCATACCTAGTAGTGGCTCGTTGCTGGTGCCTAATGTCTGGTATCTTTTCTTCCGTTTGGTCGCCTATTCGTTTGGATCAGGATTTTGAACCGCTTCTCCCGTCTCTACCCAAGCAAATTAGCAAGGTTCTTTATTTAACTTACTTTGCCGTGTAATATTTTGTTATTCAAGCTCTAGGCCAGTTATAAATGTAGATATTCAGGAGGGAAACAATACTCAGGTAGTCGTGAGGTATTTTACAAGGACTACATCTGTGTAAACCATACCTGGGGTACTGTAAGTGGCTGTTTTGGAACAATTTCAAGTGCAGGGAGGGGAAGTGAGATGGAATCAGACGGCACTAGCCGAGCGATTTAGCAAACGAAATAATACTTGGATTGCTACTAATACTTAGCATAAGTTCTGTTTGTATACCAAGCCGGGACGAAAGAGAAAAGCGACCACAAATACAAGAGACATTATTCTGTTATACAGCTGATTCCCTTCAACCCTACTTCCCTCCGCTACTTCTACGCCCCAATCATGATCGGGATCTATGACTGGAGCTGCTGGTTGAGATTCTTCGAAGTCGACAGGACAACTTGGAGAAAATGAAAGAGAGTTTAGGACTTTATGAGGCGCGCTTTTCGGCGGCCTCGATGTGACTTGGTGCGTCTCGGTGCGTCTCGGAATACACAAGTTGATCTAAGATATTAACTAGATAGAACTCGAGATTAACAGCTTAAACCCTTCTGGACTTGTTGTATCACGTGTGACACATGAAACTTCAATATACCGATGGCCTTTTTAACCAGGGGCCGCGGAAGTAAATTCCACAGGAGTAAAAGCGTAGCTGTAATACGTTACTGGTCGTAAAGAGTAGAAGGTTAAATAAGATGCCCGTGATGCGTCCGTTTGCAACCACGTGACACATTCGTTTGATATTGTAGGCTAGTACCGAGACGATTGGAAGAATCCTTGCCACAGACAAAATACCAGCCCTGGAAGGGTTCCGATCATACAGTCCAAATCAAGAGAGACAGAGACTATATACAAGTCCACTTAGACACATTTACAGACGCCTCCACCAACGTCGCGGCCCAACAATTACAGAACAAGAGACAATCCCACCATATATCGTACCACCATGGTGGCGAGGACCGAACATTTCAATCGCATCAGATGTAGAAATAGCAAAGACACAACATAAGAACTTCTTAAAGCACCCCTCAAATAGTCTCTTTATCTATACAGATGGAAGTGGCATAGATAATCACATAGGGGCTGCCGCGGTATCGCCTTTGACTAGATGTACAAAGATGGCGTACATGGGAAATAGCGAAACGTCAACAGTATACGCCGCAGAACTTCAAGGCATCAAGCTAGCTCTCCAGATTGCGGTCCAGGATCAAGAGAGAGGTAACGAAAGAAACAAAGTAGCCATCTTCACAGACAATCAGGCGGCTATTAGGACACTCCAGCACCCAACCGGCAGATCAGGCGCATACATAGCTATCGAAGTAGTCGCCCTAATAGACAAGCTACAGAACCATGGAATCCAGGTCGAGATAAGATGGATCCCGGCCCATATAGGCATATGGGGCAATGAAGCAGCAGACAAGGCGGCCAAAATTGCAGCAAAATCTCAATTAGAGGAGAATCAGGGAAACCCAAACGTCGTCCAGCCCAAGACATACCACCTGCAAGCAACCCTAAAGACGTGGATTATGAGGCAGACAAGAGCTGAATGGGCATACAAGTGGGACCTGGAACCAAGTGGGAGAACCACATACAAATACACTCAGAAGCCGACACACAAGATCCTGCATCTCCATCGGAGGCTAAAGAAATGGCAAAGCTCTCTATTGATCCAGATGCGCACAGAAAAGATAGGACTAAGAGACTTCCTCTGGAAGAGGAACGTACCCGGATATGATGATCCAGGATGTGAATGTGGAGAGGGACGACAAACTGTAGGACATATTGTATTACGATGTCGAAAATTCAAAGACCTACGACAGAGGGAAGTTGGAGGGAGGAGGTGGTTAGACCTGAAGGCAATCTTGAAAGAGTCAAAAACAGCCACAAAGGTAATAAGATTTATGGAACAGACGCAACTCCTTGGGCAATTTAGGAGTTGTAGTACAGTACAAAGAGACGAAGTGGAACGCTGGGGGGAGACTGAAGGTATTAGGACATGAGATGGCTAGCAGAAGCGGCAGCCAAGGAACCTGATATATGTCAAAAGATCAAGTAAAGCACTTCTTTTACGCTATGTATATAGTTGTAAATAGAAGCCAGACCGCCCAGGGGAGGAGGCTGCTGGTCACTGTATAGTGATGAAGTGAAGTGCGCTTACCAAATGCGGTAAGCGTACTTCGGCAGCTGCGCCGAAGCTGGACCACTCCGGCATAGCCGCCCTACGGCGGGCGGCTGGAACCGAGTATGAATAAATCAAATCAAATCAGTACAGTAGATATTTATGTTAAAGTGTTCTAGCCTTCTCTTCCCTTCTCTTTCAACAACAACAACAACAGCAACAACAACAGAACTCAAGCCTCCTTTAAAACCCATACTATATCAAAAGGTGTTACGGGCCGTAACTAACAATTACGGACTAAGAACTGGCCAGCGTTTACATGAAGAAGTCTCGAATTCCATCCTGCTTGGGAGGAAGGCAGCAGCTTCCCGCAGCAACAGCCCAAAGCGAAATGCACTTATACAACAGAGACCAGTAGGGTATAATCTAAAAATGCCACCATATGACAAACATCGACCGGCAAGGGAAGAGCTGGAATTGATAGGTGTAGAGATACTTGAGGATTCTGGAGATGACGGCTTCTAAGTAGTTACTTGTGACTAGTCTGTCGAATAGTATCTTTAATGTTATAGTATACCTAAAGCTAGAATTGTTGTTTAAACCCCTTTTAAAATAGAATAAATTTGGGAGGAACAAGGCAGGTTAATAGAATAGATTTATCAAATTTCCGAGACTTCATATCCCTTAGTTGTCCTTCAGCGGCTGTGGATGTCCTTACAATACTTGTTTTTAAACATCTCTTATAAAAGTACCCACTGCCTCGAAAAAAATCGATGAATATCACATCATCCTCGATTATCTTATTACATGTACGAAATGTGGTCCGTATAAGGGCGAACGGTCCACGGTGTAGCTTATAGAACCGTAGAACTGTCTATTTGAAGATTCTAAGCTAAGGAGAGCTCGAGGGAGCTTAAGCTTAAATACAGGATGTATCTGGTTAAGCAAGCTAGGTAATTGAAAGCTAGTGATAGTCTGAGCCGTTATACTAAGATGTAAATTATTACTTAAACTTAGAGAATATCTTTCGAAGTCTTGAAGGTCGTTTCTCGCTCTCTTTTTCTGCTCTAACTTGCTTACTTCGGAGCTCTGGGTCTAATTTAGAGACTGTGCCTATTGTTATAATTAGCTATTGAAGTAAAATTAATGCTAATACGGGGCTTAAATTCTTACTACTTGAACTATCCAAAGATGCTATATTTTGCTTCACGGTCTTAGACTTTATATGATCTAGTCCAAGGGCCTTCTATTTGCCTTGCAACGCCCGCTGGTACATCTGCTCGGCCTCCACCAGCTTGCCTTGATTGGAGTAGAGGAGGCCTAAGTTGCCGACTGTATTCAGGGTCGATGTGTGATCTGGTCCAAGGGCCTTCTTATAGCCTTGCAACGCCCGCTGGTACATCTGCTCGGCCTCCACCAGCTTGCCTTGATCGGCGTAGAGGGCGCCTAAGTTGCTGACTGTATTCAGGGTCGATGTGTGATCTGGTCCAAGGGCCTTCTCTTTGCCTTGCAACGCCCGCTGGTACATCTGCTCGGCCTCCACCAGCTTGCCTTGGTCTTTGTAGAGGGCGCCTAAGTTGTTGACTATAGCAAGGGTCGATGTGTGATTTGGTCCAAGGGCCTTCT